GTGGGCACCTGGCATCCAGCCAGGGTCAACCCACCACAGCTACAACCAAAGAAAGCTCACCATATTATACCAGGGCCTGGCAGACAGCTTCGGGTATTGGCAGGGACTGTCGGGGCACTGTCCTGCCTGCTGATCTGCGCACGAGGAAGCCTCACCATCCCTCCCACCTGCAATGCACAAAACACATCCTCCCCAATTTCCCCCTTGCCCTGAAGAACACAGAGCTGTTCCCCCTCTTGCCTATACCAGATGAATACAAGTGACGTGACTCAAAGCCTTGTGTCAGTGGGCATAAGGCAGACTGCTGCCAGCCCCTCGCCAAGAAGCACCCACCTGGGGCTGGAATTGGGAACAAGGCTGATTTGAAGTCTCAGTGCCAGGCCGGGCCCCATGGCCACTAGAGGTAGCTCTGCACACACAAACACACAGACACAGAGGAGTCCTGTGCAACCCTTACAGATGCAGCCAATCCCCCCTGGTGCGTCCATACCCGCAGAGGCCATACCCTTTGCCCCATCTCGTCCCCCAGCCTGGCACCCACAGAAGCAGCAACAAAAGCCTCGCTGAGGAAGAACAGGAGTTTTCCAGGGCCTGAGAGTGTGTAGTGATGAGATGCTTTAAGGCCCTCCTTGCCTTTTCTCCTCAAATGGGGCTGATGGGGCACTTGGAGCCTTCTCAGCACCCTCCAGGGATCATAAATGGCATCAGAGTCACAGGATCGGGCCCAGAGCATCGCTTTGTGCCATGCTGCCTGCAGGCACCTCTCTGCGGGGGAACATGGACTGGGGACACAGCACTGCACCTAGAAACAGGCAGCAGTATCAGGCCCCTGCAGACAGCTGCCGAGCAGTCCAGGCCAGCCCTCTACGCAAAGCCCTTTCTTTTACAGGCATACCACCTAGCACCATCCCTGGCACCTCTCATCCTGTCGCCCAGGAACGTCCCCGCACCTCGGTGCGCACGCAGCAACCGTACAAGCCCCTTGCTCAGCCCACACCTGGCAGACAACACCTCCCCGGCTGTTCAGGCACCTGCAAACCATCCAGGGCACGTTCTGGCATCAAAGCACGGAACCCGCGCTCCCAGGGATCTCGGCACCTGCCCCAAAAGGGAAGGCTCTCCGCAGGCTGCCCCCGGACAGACCTCTCACCCTGACCCCTCGCGGCACGGCTGAGAAGCAGCTGCAAGAGCCGCAGCACCAGCAGCCCCGGCGCAACGGGCCCGGCGGGGCC